GTCGAATCCCGATACGATTGAGCACGCTTTGCTTGCTCTTACTCAATTATCGGCCATGGATAGAGTCGCTAGGGTTTTATCGTCATCGACGGCATTCGTTATCCAATTGGGGGAATTGGTAAAGCACGGAAACGTAATCCTACAACAGATTTCATCTTGTTTCATAGCGAGATTATCAATCAGCGACGGTAACAAACGAGCAATCGCCGACTGTTTAAGCTCGTTGATAAGGCTGATGGAGTCGCCGAAACCTGCGGGGTTACAAGAGGCGGCGACGGAAGCGGCGAAGTCGTTGCTCACCGTTAGATCAAATCGGAAAGAGCTGATAAGGGAAGAGAAGAGCATGATCCGATTGGTGCAGATGCTGGATCCGAGGAACGAGAGGATGGTTGCGAAAGAGCTCCCGGTGATGGTTGTGGCGGCGATTCTCTCAGGCGGAAAGAATGCGGCGAGGACGAAACTGATGAGCTTAGGAGCTGATCGTCATCTACATTCACTGGCGGAGATGGAAGTTTCCGGCGCCAAGAAAGCTCTTCAGAGACTCGCCGCCGGTAATCGGCTCAAGAGTATCTTCGGCAGAGCATGGAAGGATCACTAAAGGTACGTTTTCCCGTCGATGGGCATTTTCGTCATTTTACACCAAAATCACGGGACTCCGACAAGTCTAAATTGCCTCCCGAATACGAGTGGGGCCAGAATTTGATGTGGTTTTTGGAGTCCACGAATTTTTCTTAATAAATTAAATTGAATTGATTAGGAATACAGATGGGTCGATATTTGCGTAATTTAAGGGTCCCGTTGAAACATGGCCTCTATAAGTTTGCATTATCAATTGATATAGACTAATTATAATCCCGACCCAAAAAAAAAAAAGACTTATTATAATCATGTTTAACTAACTATAAATTGACAAGTTCATTGAGAGCTGACACTGACGTGCATTATTTATTCGTTTAATGATTATGCTTATCTTGCTAATTCTGTTGGATTTAGAAACTCGGACTGATCTTCGATGAGACAGAAACATATTTATTTAACGAAAATGGTTTGGCTCATATCATGTGGATTTTCGGTCGGTTAGGTCAAACTGGTATAATGGAATATGATCAAAGTGGTAATAAATGTGGTTAAATTACAGGTATGAAGATGCAACTGTGGAGTGGAAGACCTGGAAAGTGTGCCTTCTACTATTTGATTACTGAAACTAT